CAGTCGCATACTGAGGCCATGTGGTACAATACGAATATCGATGATGCATACCGAAATTATGTCATCGCTCTTATCTACCATTTTATCTGCAATTAATTTTTGTAAAACCGCGTGCCGTCTTTTTTTCGGTTAATTACAGCTATTCGTGAGAGTATCCGCCCACACTGTACAATGTTAGGTGTAGAAATTCAAGTTGATCCTTTCTAAGGTAAACTGATTCAGAATCGTTTGTACCCGTCTATAACGCAAACGATTCTGAATCACGTGGAAAAAACGGATTTCAAGAATGTCAATGTCGGATGCTGGCCATTTTTTCATTTCTTTTTATTTATTAATCGATAAAGGTACAAACGAAACTATTGTTAGTACAATCAAGTGCAAACGAAATACTATCGTTTTCCGTAAACAAAATTAATCTTTTAAAAGAGTATCCGCCGAGTATATATACAGGGTGTCCCAAAAGTCGGGGAGGAGCCGGAAATGGGGGGTAGCTGAGACGATTCTGAACAAGAATTTCCTTTGCAAAAATGTCGGATGGGGCTTCGTTAAGGAGATATTAAGCGAAAACCCCGACCAATCAGAGCGCGCGTAGACCGTTGGAGCGGCCGCGGTAGCGAAGGGTATGCGCTAGGTGGCAGCGCTTGTACGCGAACAAGTGACTCGACGTGCATCGAAGGACATTGACGCTGCCGCCTAGCGCGTAGCCGTCGGGGTTTTCTCTTAATATCTCCTTAACGAAGCCCCATCCGACATTTTTGCAAAGGAAATTGTTGTTCAGAATCGTCTCAGCTACCCCCCATTTCCGGCTCCTTCCCGAGTTTTGGGACACCCCGTATACGTTAGTTTACTACGTTACGCTAAGTAGATTATTTTTACATACAACATAGTTGCTATATTGCGAGACAAAGTATTGCGAATGTCTTTAATGTTACCGCGGAATGAAATAGTGGTTGATAGACTGCGAATGTTTATGCAAATTTATATCTTTTTCCGGAATAAAGAAGATCTACCTTTTTCATGTATAACAAAATAAATTATATATAAGCCTTTGGTTGTTTGTGCAAATTTATGTTTTTCAGAACAAAGAAGTACTTTCATATCCGTACAAGATAAATAATATATAAGACTGTACATGTTTATAAAAATTCATATTTTTTCAGAATTTCTTTTTATTTCGAAACAAATAAGTAATAAATAATATATTAGGTGTAGAAATTAATTCTGTGACTCTTATTCAATCGTTTGTAACTCCACTTGAAACAGATATATTTACTCGTTATTTTGGTAAATTGAAGTACGAACGTACTAAATCCTCAGATGATCTCTATTACAATGTACCTATCATTCGATATTCGTGTTCAATCAAGTATTCAATCTTCATACGACAACCGAGATTGTTTTGCATATTGTTTACATTCACAATAGGTGATATGCAAAGTCATGTTTCTCACAAAACGCATCACCATTGTGGAACTACAATAGAAAGAAAACTGATACGAAACGAACGACTATACTCTCAAATTGCTCGAAAACAGAAAATATCCTTTTGCCGATTCTCCGATATTTACAGTCGTGACCCAACCATTCTCCACTAGCGACAAAATATTCTTGTACATTTCTAGATTTCATTGAAATAATGATAAGGTAAAATAAGGTAAAATAAATAAAGTTAAATAAGGTTAAATAATGATAAATATTATTATTATTAATATATATAATTAATATATATATATATATATATTATAATTAATAATAATATTCCTGATAAGGTCAAGGTCCCAAGGTCAACATGCTACACATGTTTGAATTTGTCTTTTTATCAGTTACAATATTGAAAATACTCCATTCCGCTGGAAAAAACATAAATGACCTTGAAATTTCGGAAAATATGACCTTGAGACAATCTTTTTACCTACCACAGTACGATCCCCTCCTAACCAAACATTTTTCTCTCAAAACACATCTTCGCATCACTAAATGCAACGGAGATATTTTAAGAAGAAATCTTAAATGACACACTCTGTATAATGATATACTTTTTTTCATTTATACTATTTTACATATTTTCACAGATAAAGAATTTAGATTTAAACGAGATTACGTTGTTATCTTCAAAACAGTGTAACATGTACTTTCTTATTGATATGTTATTATATTTTTGCATTTATGCACATCCTCGTACATTTTCTCACATTTTTATTTGCCATAAATGGACAAATATTCACAGTCCAGCGATGGACAATTTTAAACGGTTGGAAAACTTTTCAACAACGACCGGTAGTCGTCGCTGCAACAACAGGTGGCGATTAGTTTGTGTTCCCTGCAGCTGTTCGAATGGAGAAATCGACAATCTGCCAGTTTGCATTGATAGGGCAGTTCGTGAACGTAAGGGTCTGTGCAGCAGCAAGCGTCGTGAAGTAATTTTTCTCCGCAGTATGGATAGACCGAACTGTCGCACAACGGACATCTTCTGTAAATAGAGAAACATATTTTATTAAAAAATGCAAAATGAATATTTCGAACTCGATGTTGAATTAATCGCTCAAAATAAATGATTCGACATTAATTAAGTTCTTACTGGTCAAGATAAATTGACACAGTTTAAAGTTAAGTTAATTCTCTTTCAATTGGAAGATACTTTAATTAATATTAACGTTTTGTGAATTTTTGTCTGGATGAATAAAACTTTCCACTCTTCTTCGACAGGTATGAAGGGTCGTCACAGGAATACGTTACCTGTTTTGAGATGGAAAATTATAGCGTTTAAGTGTCACCGATGCTTGCTTGGCCCCTGTCTCTTGATTACTCTCTATACTGCTTTGTTCGTCTTGCACGCGAGAACCGCAGGAAACGTGTAAATTAAACAAATTATATTACATAAATACATTATTTATCGTAAATATCGTACTTACAAAATTGTTCAGTTTATATTCATCGAATAATTTCGATCTATCTATATTAGTTTGTATAAAAGCAGGGACAGAAAACGATATATTTTAAATGACTAAATAATTTTATTAAATATCACTAGGGGAAAAAGCATAGGCACAAACATAAATTAGTTAATTGTAGATTACTAAAACAAAAGAAATAAAACAGACGCGAACACGCACACACGGGCACATATACAAACTTGTTAACTAAAAAAATTACTCTTTCAAATGTTAAGAAAGGCAAAAGTTAATTTCCATGATTCTGATGGACTCTGTAACACGGCTTGATGGAGATTAGTTGCATTAGAATTGGAAATTTAATTTGAATATGAATACGAAGGTAATCAATTTTACATTTGAATCTATTCACTCAATAGCTACACAGACACACATACACCGGCATATATGCATACTTTTGATAGCATAACTGAGAGAATTACTATTTAAAATGTACAAGGAGGAAAAAATTAATTTTCATAATTTTTATTGATTCTTATGGAGAATATTTGAACGACAAACGAAAGTTCAATGAAACGAATAAATTTTACATTCTAATGTACTCACTCAATTCAGTGGCAACGCAGAAATGCAAAACAACGGTCGCACTGATTATAATCGTGAAAATTGACATTTTTTAAATGATATTTGAAGAACACCTTCAGCCAACACCTTCGAACACAGACAGCCTTTCTAAAGAAATAATCTCCTCTACTCGATTTCTTTTCAAAACCCACGCAACTTTTATTTACACACTTGGATTTTGCAAGAGAGGATCGTAAATGGTTGGCGTACCCGTTACTTGTAACTGGTCCGGTTCTTCCTCTCTTCCTAAGCGTCAGTGACTTGCAAAATAAAATAAAAAATCACCACGACACCGTGCCGAGTCTTCGTAACGGGTTTACAACTTTTGTTTTTAATCAAATAATAAATAGTTTTTTTGTTTTTATTTCATTGGTTAGCTGTTACTTAAATGAATGTTATTGGCAAGCTTATCAGCGACAAAGGGTTTTGCAAATGAACGATAACAGAAACAAAATAAATAAATGATAGGAACATTTAGTTATTGAAATTAGGTACAAGTTTTTATTTGCTTTCGTCGATCAATTCTTAAATACGCTCTACTTTTATTTGTCAATACCTAATTGCACATTGCTCTCATTGACCCATTTAATTTCCTTTTCAATTACGTTGATATCGTAACTGTTGATTTCGGTTAGTCTGCCAATTTAAGCATATTGTTCAAATGTATAAATGGATACAGTAGAAAATTAAATAAGATCGATTCGGCTGTGTTCTGCGCTTATTGTCTAACAAAATTATTTTCTTCAAGTTTTTCATTCTATTCTTATATTTTATATATTATCGAAAAATGTATATGAAATATTATTTACTTACACACCTCGTACAGAGTTGCTTTATAATTTTTACATAAAAGCAAACATTTTTCTACTGCATTCGTTTGAAATTTAGTATTTAAATATTATAGTCTCACAAAAATATTTAATTCAAATTTCGAATTCTACTTTTGTATCTTCTATTATAGAAAAATGTATATGAAATATTATTTTCTTACATACTTCATGGGGAGTTGCTCTATTCTCATACATAAAAACAAAGATTTTTCTGTTGCTTTCGTTTTAAACTATATACTTTCAAGAATATAATTTAATATATAATATAAACACAAAAGTATTGGTGAACCGTTTGGAGCATGAGATTTCTGTTGAATTTAACACAAAAATGTTCAACAGTGTACAATTAAGTAACAATCGCTTGGGAGTTAAGTATCACATGACCAAGATGGTGCTACATGTCCTAATTATATTTACATTGGCAAAGGGAGAATGAAACTAAGGATAACTTGTATAATACATGTTTATACATTCCATTCCATCAGACTAATCATTCTGTTTCACTATTTACGTTTCTAATCGGTAGAAAACTACAAACAGTATCTGAATATAGAATTCATCATTTTTTCGCAAACCGTTTAGAACAATTTTACAAATTCGGTGATTCGTTGTAGCGTGTATTGTAAACGTTCGTTGAGCTCGCATATTTTTGGCATGTCGATGGAAAAATAATTTATTAAAATAAGTCGTACTGTACAAAATATTTGGTATTAAACGTGTACTGTTAGACTGGTCGGAGAAGTAGCCTGAGCACCATTACTATCGCCAGGAACTTTGTCAGATTCGTATCCGTGTATGACCGTGCGTCATTTGCGAAATATTTCCCTGAAAAAAAGAAAAACAGAACACTTGGTTACTAGTAAATTAATTACTTTCAAGAATTAATTCTAGACCATTGGTAACTTTGATATCGTATTATTTATTACGATTTGTTGTATTAGGGGGACCAGAAAGTAATGTCGTTTCTGCGAATGCAAATACTTGTTTATTATTTACCAGCTCACCGTGTACCAATCAATTTTTATCGATCAGGTATTGAAAATTTGCACACTAGATGGCAAAAGGTTATTGATAACGAGGACATTTATATAATTGATTAAAAATAAAAACATATTATAAATTTATTTGTTTGAATTTAATGTAAAAGAAACGACATTACTTTCTGGTCCCTCTAATAATTAAGCAAATATGCGAGATTTTAAAAATATTAGCTCGATTGAACGTCAGTGATAGATATTTAATATATTTGATGTAGAAATCAATTCTGTGCTTTTCTAGATTAACTTAGCATTTATATACATATGTATAAAGAAAAATCATACAACTTTTAATTTTTTCTTGGCCACACATTCCAAGAGCGTGTTTAATTGCTATGAAGGTTGGTACTCTACCATAAAAAAAAAAAATGGTCAGTAAATGTTTCTATACAGGGTGTCCCAGAATTCGTGTAAGAATCGGAAATTGAGGGTAGTTGAGGCGATTCTGAACCACAATTTCCTTTGCAAAAGTGTCGGATGATGCTTCGAGAACCACTAATTGTGATATTTACCTTGCACATACATACATAATTAAAAGGCAACGAAAAGATTCGAAATTTTCTTAACGCATAAGCGAAAAAGTAATACTTACAAAGAGAAGCTAAGTAGGAATGGCAACAACATTCCCGTAGCCTTGTGTATTCGGCACAGTTTCCAGCCTGCACTTTACATTCTTCTGGTCCCACGCGACAAGTGTGCTTGACGAAGGGGAATACCTCTAAAACAATAGACTAATAAATATACGGAACGGGGTTTCGAACATTCTGAATAGCACTAACTTTCCATCAATGAAAATGATAGATGTATATCTATTTAATTGCTAATTAGTTGCATAACATACAACAGAATAATTCTCATGAGAATAGATAAGTTTTGAATTAATACGCGTCTCAAAATAATTACAGTAGAAGCTAGTAGATAAATCGCTGTATCACTCGATAAGGTTCTAGTATTGTGTCGATTCATAAGTAACTTTTTTTTTCGAACCACTTTTCTACTCTTCGGTAGGAATTCCTTTCTCATAAATAATGAAAGATTCCTCTATATGTTACTCAACAATGTATACTTCAATATGGCCAAGGAAGTAGAAAATAATTTTTATAGAGAATTTTAAATTTCGACTAAAATCAACTGGGCATCTCCTTGGGAATCGTTAAAAAAATAATTCTTTCATTTTTACAAAAATTCAATTTCCACCTTCGAGAAAAACTTTTTGTATGCTTTTTATAGGGTTCCGTGAGATCTACAACGAAACAAAGTTTCAATCCAAGATATTGATTATTAAGAGTGCCACGAATTTTTGAAACTCAGGCAACTTTTCACATATTTTTCCTCCAGAATTAACTTAAAAATAGACTCTTTTGGTAGTTTTATATTTCTTAAAAAATTCTTCACCTAAAGACACGCAGTTTTCCGTTTTGATAATTAAAATCTACTTGCTGGGTCTTATTTTACATGTATTCGATAATAACAAAATAATTTTACTTCAGACTTTTTTTAACGAAATAGCGATGCTAGAGCCTGTTGGTCTTGGAACAAAAATTGTTGTATATAGCTATGATTTGCACACGTTCAAGGTTATGTTCTATAATATACACAGTGTAAGTTAAAATTTATATTCATTAACGACTCCAACTCGTCCAATTTTACAGCGAATTAGCAACTATTTAAAGAAATAAAAAACAGACCAGCCCTCCTTCGCCTTTACCGCTCAAGTTTATAACGAAATAGTTCCCATTCACGATACCAGATAGCGCCAACGAATCCGTACACCAACGATGCAACCAATGTTTTAAAAATTTTACAAATAATTCCGTGTGACATTGAATTTCGGTATAACGTAAGGCTGACTAGGCATTAATGATGCAGTACTACAAATTAAAAGTTCTATTATAACTAGAATACGAATTTTTACGCATTTATAGAAAATTTAAATTTATATGAAACTACTAAATGCTCACAGTATGCAATTATACAAAAAAAAAAATCCTATTTACATTCAACTTTTATAGATACGTTTGAAGAGATTTTATTTTTCACGAAGATCCGCAGTTTAATTATACTATATAACACAATCTGTATTTTTATACGTAAAAAGTTTATACTTGCAGCGATAGGCTCATATAAACTAAATCTAAGACCTAATAAATACATATGTATTATATAAATGTTTCAAAAAAAGCAAAGTAATATTGAATATATATTAAATATATTCTGAATTAGTAATATAAACTCGAAATCTATGTGTTTGTAATTTTCTTTTATTATTATTATTATACTATTATTATTAAACAATATTAAGCTCTCCATTACTCTTCTGAAATTTGTTGAAAAGTTGCGCAATTTTTATAAAGAATGTAATTTTATAAAAGTATTCAATTAAAGAAGATTTTTAAATAAATAAATATCCCTTTAGAGAATAGAGAATTTCTAAAAAAAGAACCCCCGTTTGTGGATTGAAAAGAATATGCTGTTCGTTAAAACAGAACGTTCAGTCCAAGTATAATTGTATTAAGTTTGTCCCTGAGGACGATCAAGTTACCGAATACGAAACGTAACTAACCGATTTTGTCAGTAACGGATCCAGATACATCGGGACCCAATGTCCCCGATATATTTATAAATTAATGCAAAAGGAAGTTTTAAACATTTAACACTAGTACGAATACTTATTGTTTCTGTATTTCTATCGATTTATTGTTTTTTCTTGTTGATTTCTCGCTTATACAAAATACCTAATTTTTTCGTGCTGTATCTATTCTAGACATTTCCAAAGAATATGTAGGATATCGTTGTTTATAAAAAAAAAAAGTTAATAAATTACAATTTCACATAGTTTTTTTGGAAATTGATCGATGTACGAATACTTTCTACACCGACTGTATATTGTTTTAGCAGTTCAAATTAACGCGTTCGTTCCTTTTGATACCTGCTAGTTATTATACATTATATGTTCTTCACCCTATTATTCCCTATAACAATAATTATTCAAATAAATAGTCAAGAAAGAAGACGACTTTTCATTTTTAACAAAGAAGTTACTACGTAATCTACGTAATCTACCGAATCTACGTAATTTTTCGAGAACAAATAAAGATTCATTTCGATAATTTTTGAATGGTAATTAAAATAAATAGTCAACAAAGAAGTTGCTCTTAGAAATGTTTTCTACTTGCGGCTCCGAAACTGAAATTTCGTTGGTTTCGCGGTTGATTCGTCCCTGGGGTTTTGTATGTACTTGGGTCAACAACCAATTCACGTAACGAGGTACCGAAGGTTTCCGGTTCCGTATCAGTTCCAGGCAGTGTAACTACTTGGCAAAGGTGGGCTCGATTTATTGCGGAATTCCTCGACCACAGAAGACAATTTTTTTCTGCCAATTAAATACAAACATACTTCATGCGCGCAGATTGGAACTATTTTTTAACCGACTTCGAAAAAGAGGAGGTTACTCAATTCGATATCTATATATATATATTTTTTTTTTTGTGTACGAATCAGTTTCCAAACAGCGTTTACTTTTCATTAGCCTCTTCATCATCGGAAAATTATTCAATTTATTGGTTAAATGTACCTATCACTGTATCGATTGTAAAAAAAAAAATAATAAATTAACAGAGAGAATTGCGTTAGAATCAATAACGAGCATTCACCCCTTCAAAAAATTAATTTTTCATGTTTTTCTGAAGACATACAATGCGTATATAATGTGTGTACATATACACAATATAAATAATTGGTAAATGTCGAGACATGTATGAAATTTCATGTTTATTATTCTTGGTATTGGTTTTTGCTGTACTGCAGTTCTGGTTAATAGATTAGGCCGATTAGAAAAGTGCAACGAAGAATGTGTGAGTCACAATGGCTGATCGAAACGAACTCACGTATTCGATACGTGCAAGTGGTGCGTGCAGCAACGCGATTTTATTGCTTCCACCATTGTTATTCACGTATCAACCCGACGCATGTTAACACTGAATATTGCGTCGTGAATAACGATTGGAATTTTGTAAAATTATTGTTACATTGTTTAGAAGAGTTGGGATTCGTCGCTAGCGCTGTTGTTCGCAAAGGCAATTTTTGATAAAAAATTTTATAATTTAAAAACTTGTATTATCCTTTGGATCGAGGTTGTAGTATCTAGAACATCTCGAGGTCTCTAATTTTGTTCGAACGCGATACATTTTCGTATTTGACCGAGGAGAAATTCGAGCAAATGGTGTTAGAGGTCGATGACCGATAATCGCGCAAAGAGTTCGTACGAGGAACGCACGGAATACCTAAGTGTTTCTGTTAACGACTTTGCCGATTGTTTCAGTTTCATCATTGCGAGTCACCCGGTATAACCACCCTATAAGATGGACATTAGCACGCCTGCGAAAGACAAGGATGGTATCGTTACAAGGAACGATGATTTCCTGAACAGGTGATTGTCCTTACGTCCAACTATGTGCGAAGGTAGACAACAACTTTACTTGATACCTTTCATCAAGTCCGCGGAAAATTTGTCTCCAGCCTGAAATAGTACTTCGATTCTATCGTATACAGGGGTGAATCACGAATCGTGATCAGTGGTGGTTACTCTCTTATTCGCAGTCCGATCAAAAAAGGCTTGTATCAACCTTTGGATGATTTCAGGCAAACTTTAACGTTGATTATAGAAATTTTTGTGAACTACTCCTTTTTTTATGTTTTTTCAAGATCACCATGAATTTTTGGACGTAAAACACAGTCGATAGTACTTTTGTTATTTTATCAATTGTATACATTCTAGTCGGTTATATATTCAAATATTGTTAATCGAATAGTATCGTAATATTTGAATTGCGATATTCGAATAGTAATATTCGAATAGTTTTATTCGATTGTTAGATTGTCTAAGTTTAACGAGGTAACTCGAATTCTCGTAAAGTATTTGAACGTTCTACTAAGCTACTCCAACTACTTTAACACTCCTCGACCTAGTCACTATATTTGTTTTTGTAACTTTGTTTATTTACGTATAAAAATCAGATGAAAAACGGCATCGCGTGTTGGCAATTCGTGCGTGAAGAATTGACCGTGCAAACGTTGGAGTCCCGATTGTGCAACGACTATAATTCGTACAACAGAATAATAACTCGCGTAATCTAAATCGCAAAAACGTAACGAAAATTGCTTAATTGTGACGATCTGTTGCGCTACAACTGGACTCAACCAAACAAAGCGCAAAGGATAATGGACGACGAAACAATAACAAACAACAATTTATTCGAGTAATCGTTCTTGAAGATACAAAACGAAATGCAAATTAAAGATCATTTAAACGATAATTCAGTCGTTCTACTTTACTTTGACGTAGTGAATTATTTAAAAATAACTGAAACGCTTATTAACTTCAAAAATATTTAACGTTTCTTATCTTTACAATGATACTTACTGTTGAAACTGCCGTCGCAGCAGCAATGATCGTTTATGACACTCCCATCCTTGCAGTATGCCATTTCAGAATTCGTGCAAGGTTTGCAACCTACAATGGGTCCTGCAAAATTTCAACAAAAAAATACAATATCCTCTCTGATAAACAATACATGTTTCTTTAACATAGATTTATTGAAGTGTAATATAAAATAAATATAATAAAAATACGAAGACAAATATAAATATAAAAATAGATATAGATAAATATAACAATAATATATATGTCAATCATAATTTAACTATTTCACGCGTGCTCGTGTGACTTTTACACGGTGCTGTATATCATTTAAAAGTGTAGATTCATTCTACATTTAATTAACAAATTTTATGTGTCTTTCATTCGTGGAAAACGAAATTATTTTTTCACTAATCTAATATTTTATTTTTTAAATACAAAAAAAAATAGTAATTATTAATATCATTTGTTATCTTGCATATACCCGTTATACTCCCTGCCTGTGTCAATAATTTTTGTTCTCGCTGTACTACTTCGGAGGAATTTTTTTTTTTTTTTTCAACAATTAAACATTACATTTCATTATCGTGGAATCGATGTGCCGTTATTAAAACACGAGACAATCGCATTAAATCGACGGAATATGGGTATGATTCACGTTAATTAGTGTCTCGAGGTTTTACGCAATTGTTTCGAAATTGTGTCGTGAATCTACGTATCTACATATACATGCATTTACATTATTCTCGATATTGCCTGAAAACACGTGCACATTCACTTGGCGTTAAGGAAACGTTTTTATGTATTTCACCGTGGACAAATTCCAATAATCTTTTTATAGTCACTTAACTATTTTACTATTTTTTTTTATTGAATTTATGTTTATAATTCAAGTAAGTATTAGTATATATAAGATCATTTCTGATTGAATTTAGATAATTTAAATCGACACCCTAAATGAACCACATATATTTTTGTATAAATATAAATACAAGTATTAAAAATTTATATATATACAGTTTTTTAACTCAGTTATATTTATATCTAATTGTATATTTATACTTGCACTTGCATTTGCATTTCCAGTTCTATTTCTATTTATATATATATATATTCATCGAACCCTAAGTTAGTTGAAACATGTAAAAACATGTTTTATTTACCCCAAAAACAAAATTCGGGCCTGAGAACGTCAAGTATATTATACTGTAACTAAAAATTTGAAGCAAATTCTAGTAAAACAAAGATGAGATCAATGAAAACATGCACGAAAGGAGCAGCATAACTAAATAAATTATAAGATAAAGTTTAAGGATTATTTGGGCAAGTAAAAACTGAAATACTGTTTTTCACAGAATCGTTTCACTAAATCATTGGAAATGTTAAAACTAAACGCTGGCTGGTTCGCAATCTTAGACAAAGAAGGTAACCTTGGTTTCTATTTCTTGTCCACGGTAATATTACGGTTGGAAAATGAACGATCATTTCTGATCCTCGACAATTTTCAAGCAACAAGCGTATTAAAAACAAGGTGTTCGTTTCATTACTGCCGCGCATAAACCTTAAAGAGACGAAAAAATTTCAATCTACGCTTCCAAGTGCCAGGGGCGGATCTAGCAAGGGAATTTCCGGCAATCGAGGCACGTCAAAAAATTAAAATTTTTGCAAAAATGAACTTCATGTCAAATATATTTTTTTCGAGAAACGAATACTTTTCGTGGATCACTTCAAAAATGAAATTATCCAAATCGAATTTTGGTTCTCGTACTCTTTAAAAGAAACCCAACAAACGTGGGTACGGATTTTATCGTACAATAATTTTTTCTTGACTGTAACAAAATTCTGTAAAAAATTTGTCCTTGAAATTGAATTTTACACGATTCAATTCACCGTTGAAAACCACGCGAGGATACCTATTTTCAAAGTTTTATCTAGAAAATCACTGCTGGTCGATTTCCATATGAACGATGCCCCTTAAAAGGTAAACAAATCTCCGTGAGATCCCGATACATGTTGATTATTAACAAAACGAGAAGTCCACGGAGTTAATTCGCGGGAGGAGTATGTAGCCAAAGTATCCGTTTAAACAGATCAAAGGGGAGTTATTCTTGGAGGAAAGATAAATAGATTTCCGTGCCCGGTAAAGATGCTTTATAGACCAGACGTAGAATGAAGTCGGACAAGGGGCTCGTAGTAACGCTTTTAGTATCTAGGTCCTAGATTCTAGGACGTAATCTGTAAGGTTTATACCTGGGTAAACTTCCAGCTTCTTCGCCTCGGCGATCGCGTCCTCGTAAAGAACTTCATGTTCCAAAAAATATTCCTCGTCGGGATGATGGTTCACCACTGTCACCGACTCGAGATCACCGAGGATCAGGACCAGCGTCAGGATTCTGAATGCAGCGGTATGGCTCATGCTAAGGCCTCTTCTTCGACATCTTCGAAGGTGATCACTATTGGCCAACTTCTACGAGAATTCCACTTTGACCTGATGCTTGAAAGAAGAAAAAAATGCTTCTATTGCGGCTACAATATTTCAGTATTCAGATGTGTATTTCAGTATTCAGAAGCGATTTTCTTAACACGATCTTAAATATATATGAACGATTTTCTCTTATTATATCGAACAAAGATCAGGTCTTGAAAGTTTTGATGTCGATTTTCCATAAAATTCTGGTAAAATACATTTTCTAACTTTCTAATTCTAATTTTTCGATAATCTATCATAAGTAAACTATACTTGTCGATGCTAGATTCGTCATTATTTGGTTAATAAGCAAACTAAACACGAGCCACGAAAAAGCAAAATAATTCACGATTAAATAATTCATGATTATTATTCACACGAGTGCGTTTGTTAATTATTTATAAGCTTTCAATCGAGAATTGTGTACCTTGTATCGTGACCTGTTCGTACAAATTTGTTTGCATTAGTTAATCATTAATCGTTCATTGTTCGACACTTAAAGACATAACATCCGATCGAGACTAAATATACTCTAAATGAACGCTAATCTTTATAATTTCCGCTTTTTTTTTTTATTTCGATTACACCTTATTGTTAAAAATTCTATACCCCGCACTTCCCTTACCCAGACTTATTTCATACGCGTGGTATAATGATTGTCGCAACCGGAAGTGTGTGGAAGATTACGGGATAAGAATGCCGGTGGGACAGTACCTTCTAAACGATAACGATTGCCGTATCATCATCATCCAAGGTAAGTCCTGAAAAGGACCCTCTGTTACCGAGGCAACTAAGATTTCAAGGTATTCGTTTTATGGAGTTTTCAAAGTGTACGCGTCAAGAGAATACTTGGATTGCGTTGTCGAACAACGCAGCATTGTAAAATTCGGTACACCTGGTAGATCGTTATAAATCGAAAATTTAAATCAATATTGTATTGTTAATATTAGGTGTGGAAATTAGTTATGTGCCTTTACATTCAATGCTTTATAACATTCATGTTTAAATAGAAATATTTAATTGTTATTTTGATGTTACACATTTTTATTTTAATTACACTACTACTACTACTACTGCTACTACTACTACAAATACTTTTTAAATCATTTATTATTTAATTACCTGAAAAAGAAATTTTGTTTACGGAACTTTTATAAACGTTTGAATATTGTAATTCGAATAGTGTTACTCGAAACGTGCTGTTCAATATATTTGTATATTGATATTTGCATAGCTCTATATATTTAATAATTATATACACAATAATTATACTAAATACTCAAATAATTATATTATTATTGTCGAAAATGACGAACTTACGAAATAGAGCGTGATACATTCAGATAAGAAAATTCAAATAGGGGAATACCAGCAACTTGACCAGTATGCCAGGGGTAGCGAGGTATGAATCATTCCCGAAATAAAATGAATTATCCGATCGATATCAAAACCTCTCGCATTCAAGCTAGACGCGTGTTTCGCGTGCAGTCCGTGACATTAAATCGTCGGTCTAGACTGAATATCAGATCCGAACGATTACATGACGTAATGGTTTGGTTCTATCACAAACTTGCGCTAATCGTTCCTTGTCAATGGGGAAACTGAAATTTTAACCATGATACAAGGAACTGATTGATAATACTGTTCGGAGATTGCAATAAAAACATCATTATTCAAGTATCAAGATTCAAATATCACCATATGAATACCAATATTCGAATACAAATATCCGAATACAATTATTCAAATATCAATATTCAAATATCACTATACGAATACCAATATGCGAATATCGTTATCCAGGTATCGCTATTCGAATATCGCTACACGTATACAACTATCCAAGTATCAATGTTCAAGTATCGATATTCGAATACAACTATTCAAATATTAATAATCGAATATTATTATTTAAATATCACTATTCGAATATCGCTATTCAAGTATCAATATTCAAATATCATTATTCGAATACCAATATGCGAATATCATTATTCAAGTATCAATATTCAAGTGTCGCTATTCGAATACAACTAATCAAATGTCAATGTTCGAATATTATCATTCAAATATCACTATTCGAATACCACTATTCAAGTATCAACATTCGAATATCATCATTCAAATATCACTATACGAATACCAATATTCGAATATCATTATTCAAGTATCAATATCCAAACATCATTATTCGAATATCATTATTCAAGTATCAATATTCAAATATCATTATGCGAATATCATTATTCAAGTATCAATATTCAAGTGTCGCTATTCGAATACAACTAATCAAATGTCAATGCTCGAATATTATCATTCAAATATCACTATTCGAATACCACTATTCAAGTATCAACATTCGAATATCATTATTTGAATACCAATAGTCGAATACCAATATTCGAATATCATTATTCAAATGTCAATATTTAAACATCACTATACGAATACCAATATTCGAGTATCGTTATCCAAGTATCACTTTTCGTAATGACCGAAGAACGCAAGTTCCATCGTTTCCAGGGTCGCTAAAGAACCGAGGAACCAAAAAGAGCCAACAAAAAGCTAAATAAATTTCACGCTACTTTTTCGTCAATAACCGTTAAAGTACTTATGTAAACGCAAGAAAACCGTGGAGGGGTAAGGTTAGCGTGACGAGAAACATTACACGAGTTCTAGATTCTAGAAGTAACATTCGACGTGAGTCATAGCCCGATGACAAAGATGGACGATCGCTAATTAAGCCCAATTAAGGGCTCTGTACGCGAAACACGGATGTCTTGACGTTTTTTTTTACTAAAGGTGGCAACGTGGAATGTGTTCCTCTTAATCCTATACACGTCTTCCACCTGTGCATTTCTACCAATTTCCGGAACACCGATCGCGAACTGTTTAAAGGGGTGTTCGGATTTTAACGTTCTTTTAGAAATTTACATTTTCGAAATCTTTAGAATAGTTCAAAATGTCAGGCAAAAAGAATTTCGAGAAATTCGGAAAATGTACAGAATTATGTCCCAAAAATGTTGGAAGTTCTTGAAAAGGGTGGTTCGCGGGAGGGGGGGGGGGGTGATTTGAAACAACCTTAGCGAAAATGTTGTCCGGGACTTCGTTAAGAGGGTATCCCGAATTAAGAGATCTAAAAAAAGCGGTTTTTCGTGAATTTTTTTAGGATGGAAAAAAATAATTAATTCCATGGAACTTTTTATCCTATTTTCATACATATTTGAGTAGTCCGTACAAATTTTTTCGACAAGAAATATTCAAATTGAGTCGAGTGTGATGCATATTTGTAGGGCACCTCATAATTTTTGGTTTGACACAAAAAAACCAAAAGAAATTTTTATTTTCACACATTCTTTCTTCTATGTGAATTAAAAAAAATTCTACCGGAGAAACGTAACGTTTACTCTAGCATTCGACTCGACTGCTCCGAGGAAGGAACGTTCAAAAAATGGGTAAGAAACGCCCACGGTTAATTTAAACGTTCTCGATGATGCTTCCTTGAGACAAACGGTCGCGCTATAAAGTTACAACATTAATACAGTTTTATAACCCCAATCTTGACTCTGCATCGTCGAATATACTCTTCGTTATCGTTTCTACTGTTACTGTACGTCTTTTCCAGGACCTTTAAAAAACGAACGACGCCTTCGAAAATATTTATTACAACCGCGTTAATACTTTATATACCAGTTTATCTAAAAAATCTTTACAAATTTCTAAAAATCGGATTTTTTAATCAGTTGAGCAAGGACATCACCTTAATTAACACCAGGCATACGGAGATTTCTTATCAGATTCCTATTAACTGAAGTAATGCTTTAATATGTAATTAAAGTCGATTTAGTAAAATTCATTGGAATCCTTGAGCAAAAATGAATTTGCATATATACCTGTCTTTTTACATGAATAAAAGTCAACATAAATGGTTGACTCAGTACATAGACGGTTTCCGGAAAGTCTCGTAAAATTTGGCGCGAGTCAAAATGATCGCGCTCCGCAAAACAAATTGCTGCAAACAGATCCTGGAATTAAAAAGCTTATAAATATTCCCTCGGTAGTTACGCAAAATGTTAACTTCGTGACTTTTTGGACGTACAATTTTAATTTTACTTATATCAGAATACAGGTAATTACAAATTGTAATATTGATTCATTGACTCACGAGTGTTCGTAGATGTTTCTTTTTTCTAAGTAGAGTTTTTTGGTTTTACAGAAATTTATTTGTTTGAAAAATGGGCTGGATTTGATTCTGTAGAACAATGCCTCGAGCGCAAAGTGTTAAGGAGTTTCGAACGTGTATCGAATGGGAGTAACGCGCGCTGTTCTTCGAATTTGAATTCATTTTTCACTCGCATTATCGAAAGTGGCGGGTTTATATCTCTAGCCGACCTTTCACCTCGTCGAATTATCTCTTCTTTTTTTTTCTCAAACTACAAAGACCGAAGGAAAAGACGACGAGGGAGAAGTTATCGTCGTTATCGGAACGCATTCCTTATTTACGCGGCCGACAACTAGCCCCGAGTGCGTGTTAAATGGTTTCTCTGTCGTGACGCAACGTACTCCGAAATAAAAACGAAAAAAATAATAAAAAATATCGTATAAAATCTAAAACACAGTTCACGATGCTTCTTGTAACGATAACCTCCAGCGAAATGTTCTATTTGTTTATCATGGATATTACGATATTAGGCGTAGAAATTAATTCTGTGGCTTTCTTATTCAATCATTTAGCATTTATTTATTATTTATATATTTTCTTACGTAACTTTAATTCAAAGAAAAATATTCACTCGGTGTAGTGTTATGTTAGATGTAGTGCGAACCTTCTGAAATCTAAACCTGATCTAAATTTTCTTGTATCAACGGCCTTAATTTTTAAGCAATTTAAAAAAAAAAAGAAACATTTTTTTCTTTCTATATGGTAATTTTTAAGACTGGCGGAAATTTTAAATCAAACCCTAGACATTTTTATATTAATTTCGAGTATAAGACACACCCGAATTTTCGAGGCAATTTTTCGCACCAAAAAGTACGTCTTATAGTACGTAAAAAAAAAAAAAAAAAAAAAAAAAAATAAAAAAAATATACACGTCGAATTGAGTAACCTCCTCCTTTTCGAGGTCGGTTAAAAATACGGTATACACATATTTATGCGTAACCTAATCTCAATTTGATGGACATTACATACTATAATTATTATAACTACTTGTTATACTTGTAATCTGGTAGAAGAAGAATAATAAGCAAAATTTTATGACTACTGAATCTCGTATACAGACAAATTGTAATAGTAATGGTAATAACCATCAGGTCGAGAACTTAGACGGTTGGCACTTTAAGGTAACAAAATGTCGAGTAAATATTTTCACTCGACCTACAGTTACGAAGAGAAATATAAATAATAAATAAATACTAAATGATTGAATTAAAAAAAGCCACAGAATTCATTTCTACGTCTAATAAATATGTTAAAAAAAAAAAAATTATATTCGGACTGCAGATATTTGTGCATTCATGAGAGTGTAAATATACAAGGATGTATGCAAATGCATAATCCATACAAAATATAGAAAAAAAGATGAGGTACAAATAGAAGACAAAATTGGAAGACAAAACATATTTTAAATTTAAGATTCTGTTTTTCATCGGAGTATAGAAACGTATGAATTATTGCATAAACATCCGCGGTTCAATAACAACGATTCCCTTACCATTATTTTATCCTTTGTTTACCGGGCAAACGACTCACAATAGTCCACTCGAGTTGATGAAAATTTCTCGTCCCTTTTGAATCGCGATATTAAGTTCCACTACCGTATAGTAACTAGAACCACGCACGAACGATCACCTCGATACACCATGTTTACAGAGATATACATTGAAAATTTAAAGGATCTCGTTCACCAGGACATAGGTCTTCCGATTGTTCGCCAAACGTGGAAAGTAATAGTGTAAACAGTGGTGCGTTAGAAAAATGTAACGGATTCGAGGACGAACGACCCGTCGAAGACTACGGGCTGCGTTCAACTGCCGGCTGAGGGCTGAAAAGAGCGTTAGGCTGGTTAGGCACCTCCACCATCATTCTATAGCGTTGCTGCTATAGCCATCGCTAGCATAAACTCGTCGCGTCTTTTGTCGTCGTCTCTGTAACTCACTTGTATTTGTATGTACATACATACAGTGGGTGTAGAAAGTATTTGTACACCGATCAATTTCTAAAAAAACTATGTGAAATTGTAATTTATTAACTTCTTCTTGATAAACAATGACATTCTACATATTCTCGGATATCTCTAGAATAGATAGTTTACAAAAAAAAAAAAAAGAAAAAATAGCTATTTATGTAAGTTGCGAAATTAACAAGAAAAAAAACAATTAATCGATAGCAATGTTGAAGCAATAAGTATTCGCACAACTGTTTAAAAGTACTTTACTGGAATTTGATGTTTTCTAATTCGCACGGAGCAATAAACTAATGTGTTCACGTTACAAACTCTACTGTAAATGGTTCGTCATAAGAATCGTACAAATACTTATTGCTTCCATACATTTACACACTTTTCGCATTCGTATTTCACGTATTCGTCTATTCGTATTTAACGCGGCTTTCGTGCTCGCGTGAACACTTTTACTATTCAACAGCTGAGGATCCTACAACCAGGAAAACGTGCTTAAATGCGCAACTGCTCGCGTAAAGTGGTGTACGAGCCCGCACGAGTACCTAAATCGTACGTATACCGCGAACCCATGGACGTATTCAGCTGAAAACAAAAGGGTGGACAGCTTTCGGAATTCTATTTCCTTCGTGGGTGAGGAAGGTCCGTAGATGGGATTGGGAAACATGCAACAATACACAGTAACGAAAGGAAGAACATTTATTGATAACAAAATTTAATTTTGATAGAAATTTCTTGTTTACATTTTTTTGTTTCAGTTAGATTTATTTATAAATATATAATCTCTTTACATTTGTACATTTTTGTTCACACTACATTCTTGTTTTACACTACTTTGCATTCGCATTTGCTTATATTAGATTCTCTCAAAAGTCCATGCGCGAACCTGCAATCCGAAATTAGACGGCAGCATTCAACTAGCTTCCTGCCTAAAATTTCAAAGAGAATACACTTGCTGGATACTGTTACTGTTCTAAATTTTACACGGTGAAAAAAAGTGTTTGTTGATATCGTACTAAACGATATACAGGGTGTCCCAAAAGTCGGGAAGGAGCCAGAAATGGAGGGTAGCTGAGACGATTCTGAACAACAATTTCCTTTGCAAAAATGTCGGATGAGGCTTCGTTAAGGAGATATTAAGAGAAAACCCCGACCAATCAGAGCGCGCGTAGACCGTTGGAGCGGCCGCGGTAGCGAAGGCTACGCGCTAGGCGGCAGCGTCAATGTCCTTCGA